CTTATGACTAATTCACATGCTGTTTAGAATAACATATCACTAGTTTGACGAAAGCCTAATGAGGAAATATTAAAGGAAATGCACGAATGATACAAGATTCAGGCTAGCCCAGTCTTGCAGATTCAAACCAACTTGTGACTTTTCTGTTCCCAATGGCATTTGAAAATAAGCAGCAATTTGCTACTCATTTTCAAATACAATCCCAATGATGAGCACAGGAGTATATACGTTATATGGAGGGTAAGTCAGAGATATTCAGGCGTGACTAACTCCTGTTTGGTTGAAGAAAAAAGGGCCTGTAAATTTGTGAAAATAAATCACACTCTTTGAACACCAGGATTGCTTTAAGTTTAAGAGATAGATCTCTCATATTTTTAAGCCGCAAGAGAAACACTCCTTCCTCACACCCTCCATTCCCCTTATGACTCAGTTGATATTTCAAATTTCTTATGAAGAATATGGAATTTCCCCAACATTATAGGTGTCCATGGAAAATATAATCGAACATTCAAACTAATCATGACCACAACAAAATCCTGACCTCCTTAATTAGCAGTAATAGATATGTTAAAAACAAAAAGTTAACAAATTAACCAGAAGTGAGCTCCCTGAGCATTTAGTAGAACTGGGTATTAAACTCTACAAAGAATCCAAGTAAATACCATCCCGGAGTGGCGATGAACTGAATGAATCCTTCTATTAGAACCGGGCAGCATCATCTTCGACGCTATGAGCTTTTCCACACCCTGAAATTCAGAATAAATCAATTTAAATAAAGAAAAAAAAACCCTAAGTTTAAGTATCCGAGCGTATGAGAGCAAGAATTTCAAAAATTTTATAAGAAAAAAGGGTTTACCATAACAACGCCGTCCTTACATTTGATCCCAATGACAGTCCTGCAACACGAAAAATTTACAATTAAAAACCCCTTAAACCCCAAATCAGATGGCGAAAAATGCTGGAGATTGAGAATTTGGATTGCCGCGGGGAAGAAAATAGGGTTTGGAGAGGAAAGGTAGGTACCCGGAGTTGTCGACGGCTTTGGCGGCGTACTCTATCTGGAAGACGCGGCCGTCAGGGGAGAATGTGGTGACGGAGAGATCGTAACCTGTTCCGATGCTGCTCATCTTCTTCTTCCTTTTTTCTGCTGTTTATTGTTGTTTGTAGTGTTCGACTGAGAGAAGCAAAGAGCTACAAATAAATAGACATTGGCTTACCTCTCAAGAAAGAAAAAAAAAAAAAAATATATATATATATATATAGAGAGAGAAAGAGAGAATTGTTATTGTTATTTTAAAATTCTTATTTTACACTTCAAACTTTCTATATTTAGAAAGAAAAATACACTTGTGAGGAGTGTAGAATGAGATTTTTGAAGTGCCAATAACACTTTCCTAAATAAATACAGTCTACACTTTTGCAATTTGCTAATCAAAACCAGAACAAAAACAAAACAAAAAGAGTATGGAAAACCATAGGGCCGGGCTTTATACGACTCATTTTTAAAATGAAAGGTGCTTGGGCTTTACATATTAGGTTTAGGTCAGCCCAGAACATTCAATGAAGCGTCCTTGTAGGTCTCGAAATTACTGACGTCGGCAAGAAGTGCTAGAAAATGGGCATGAGTGAGACAGTACTTCAGTTGCTGGAAACTCTACTCACAATCATCATCCCATCCAAACCTAACTCCTTTCTTGGCCAGCTTTGTCAGAGGTAAAGCTACGGCTAAGAAATCCTTCACAAAGTGCCGATAGTAGCTGGCAAGACCAAGGAAACTTCGTACCTCCACAACATTTTGTGGGCGCTCCTAATTTTCCACTATAGCTATCTTCTGAAGATCCAAGAATACCTTTTGCTAAAATGATGTGCCCCAAAAAAAAAAAGACACCTGATTCAACCTGGCATTTGCTGAATTTAGCGTAAAGCTAATTATACCTTAGCTTCCTTAAGACCAATCAATAAAAACTATCACAAACATGTCACAGTATGGATGGAATACTAGTTCTTTAGGTCCATGAAAGCCACTGGAGCATTCGTCAACCCGAATAGCATCACAAGGAACTCCTAATTTGACATGAATTTGAGTTTCCTTACTTAGGAGACAAGTAATACTTATAATGGATTTAAGCCTAGCATGTTGGACTGAGGTTGTTTGACTATGTATTATGACTAGTTAGCTAATTGGATATAGTTACTCTGATTCTGTCTAAGAAGCTTAAGGGTTACGTGTCAAGGGCCTAAAATTAATAGTTCCAAGTGTCATGTCATCAAACAAACTGGAAAAATGATGGAATTGGATGACATTTATGTGCGATAGTAAAGTTCAGTGATGAAATTGATATATTTTATACTTTAGGGACCAAAATAATGAGATATGTCAATCTTAGATGGACTATTTTTTTGAGAGAGGAGTTATACAAACAAGAAATTCTTAGCATACTCTGCGATTTTTTCACACTAGTATTGATTACAATAATGCTAGTAATATCATATTATATGACAAATGGCGTGTACAACAATATTGTAACATCCCACATCGCACAAGTGAGTGAATCATGTAAGCCTTATATGTATATTCTCATCTCTACCTAGTACGAGGCCTTTTAGGAGCTTACTGGCTTCGGGTTCCGTAGGAACTTCGAAGTTAAGCGATTTCGCGTGAGAGCATTCCCAGGATGGGTGACCCACTAGGAAGTTCTCGTGTGAGTTCCTAGAAACAAAACCGTGAGGGTGTGGTAAGGGCCCAAAGTGTACAATATCGTGCTACGGTGGAGTTGAGCCTAGGATGTGGTAGGGGCCAAGGGCGGGATGTGACAATTTGGTATTAGAGTCAAGTTATTGTAATATCCCACATCACCCAGGGGAGTAGATCCTGTAACCCTTATATTTATATTCTCATCTTTACCTAGCATGAGGCCTTTTGGAAGCTTACTGGCTTCGAGTTTCGTAGGAACTCCGAAGTTAAGTGAGTTCGTGCGAGAGCATTCCCAAGATGGGTAATTCACTCGGAAGTTCTCATGTGAGTTCCCAGAAACAAAACCGTGAGGATGTGGTAGGGGCCCAAAGTGGACAATATCGTACTACGGTGATGGAGCGGGCCTGGGATGTGGTGGACCCTGGGCGGGGATGTGACAATTTAATTGTAACATCCCACATTGCCCAGGGGAGTGGATTTTGTAAGCCTTATATGTATATTCTCATCTCTACCTAGCACGAGGCCTTTTGGGAGCTCACTGGCTTCGGGTTCCGTAGGAACTCCAAAGTTAAGCGAGTTTGCGCGAGAGCATTCCCAGGATGGGTGACTTACTAAGAAGTTCTCGTGTGAGTTCCCAGAAACAAAACTGTGAGGGTGTGGTAGGGGCCCAAAGCGGACAATATCGTGCTACGGTAGAGTTGAGCCCGGGATGTGGTGGGGGCCGGGGCTAGGATGTGACAATTTGTACGGAACCCAAAGCCAATGAGCTCCCAAAAGGTCTCGTGCTAGGTAGAGATGGAAATATACTTACATGATCTACTCCCCTGGGCGATGTGGGATGTTACAAATATGGCAATTAATAATTTTATCTTTAGATACCAATTGAGAGAGTAATCCTTGTTCAATCGGGAGACTATCTAGGAGGAAATTTATGATAATATATTCAATAATCTATGATAAGATATTCAATTCTCATACGATTATAATTATGTTGCCTAATCTCTAAGATATCCTAATTTAACATGAATTGCCGGCACACTTTTTTGTCTTCCGAAGTTGCTGCCGCACTTAGAATATATCACATACATCTCTTCAAGTAATAAGATCTTTTATGTCTAAATCGAGCATATCACAAGGGAACACTTTTCATGATAAATACCTTACTTGTATATATCACATACATTTTTTTATGATAAATCGCATATATATATATTATGATGAAATGAGCTAGGGTATTCAAGTTACGAGCTAGGGTCATATCAAACGCATTCTTTATGATCTCTTTATGATGTATATGATATGATCTCCACTTCTAAAATTACTAGATCTCTTTATGATGCCTAAATATCTTAGCTTGTGTATATCACATGCATCTTTTTATGTCAAATAAGATCTCTTTAATTTCTCTCTAATCATCTATTTAACACACATTCTCTACACGTTGTTCGTTATGCGTAGACATGAAAACTCCTCTCTCCTACAAGGCTTAGTCAAGGCATATTCATCAAAGATGGTTCACGATGTCGCACACATCACACCACTCTTCTATAAAATTACAACCATGATGTGATTCTACTTCCCGAAAAATATGTAGGGTATCACACCTTTGATCAACCCCATTGACCCATCATTGAAGTTCATGAGAGATTACTATCAAATACTGCCTCTGTCCGTGGATATGCACAAATTTGATTCAAATAGCACACATGTGGGACCACATATCCAATGATAAGGTGTAATATGGATAAAGGTTACTATCGTAAACAATCCCTAAAATGGGGTAACCTATCATTTAGTCCCTAAAGTTTAAAAGATTAGTCAATGTCATTCTGGAATTGATCACACACATCAATGTGGTCCTTAATGTTCAAGTATGTCAATTTTTTTGCTAATGTGCTTGATAAATGCCCTATTTCCTATTATTTTATATCATTTATCTCTACGTTTTGTTAAGAAATTGGCTTTAAATGAGCCTGATTACTTTTCTTATCTTTAGCCAAATATGGTCACTTAGGAAATTTTTTTATTTTTTATTTTTAAGGGATAAATCAACTTTCTGGAGGAGTTTCAATTCAAAGACAAATTGTAGAGTGAAGTTAAGAGTTTGACAATAATCATATCGTATTAACAGATTGTATAAGGAATTGTCAAGTTTAATGTATAATGCCACGCCAGGGACCAAAATGATAGAGGTCCCGATTTGAAGGACATTTGTGACAAAAGGAAAAAAAAAGAAAAGAAAAAGGAAATGTAATTGTTACGAAATGACTGTAGTGACCAAATAGCGATGCAGAGCAGAAAGTAAAATCGAGGGCATGCGATGGAAAAGGGGGAGAAAAGTATCGAAGGTGCGAGGTCTGATAAAAGCAGCCGGCTTGCAGTAATAGGCTCTCACTTTGTAACTCCTCCGAACGCCATGGCTGAGAAGGATGCCGCTCTCGCCGCCGTTCCCTCCGATGCTCCCACCATGTATTTTCGAACACTTTTGATTCAGATTCATTTTACGTTTTAGAAATCATGTAATCTGTCTGATTAATTCGATTTATTTAGATTAATTCGATTTATTTGTTTATGTTTTGCAGATTTGACAAGATAATCAACAAGGAAATACCGGCTAAGGTGGTTTTTGAGGACGATAAGGTACTCCCCAGTCCCTAGTGTGTATCTTTGAATTTTCCTTTTATTTATTTATTTATAATTTATTTATTTGCTTTTTGGAAAATTGCTTAAATGATGAATTACAAATTCTGATTGCTGAAATGTTTGTTTTTTAGTATTTGATCGATATGTCGTCAATGTTAGCTCGATATGTTCACAGTATTTGATTTTGATGAGTTCATCAATTGGGATTTGTGAATTAATCATTTCAGCTAATTTTTTTTTATATTATCCCCATTGTTTGGTTATAAGTTTGGGGCTGAAAAGTGTTAAACTAAAGAAGCTGCCATTTGTTATGTTTATACACTTGTTGCAACTATCCTGATCCTGTGACGGATATACTATTAGGCCCTGTTTGGTGGGCTGGATGGGATAGGTTGTGATTAATTAAAATGCACTTGAGTCCAGTCCGTTGTTTGTTATGTCAAAATGTGAGATGGACACAACTTGACAAGATGGGTTATGGATCCACAATAGAGTGGGTTATCTAACCTATCCTTATATATGGGTTGCAAGTCCTGTCTTACAAGTCCCTGCCAATTCAATCCTATCCCTAAGGTCCAATCCCATCTAGCCTACCAAACGTGCCCTTATTTAACTCTTCTATTAATTTTGAAATGTAATTTAATTTATATAATATTATATTTTATACTTTCAAACATCTCTAAATTTTCTTTTTAGTACTCAAGTTCAGTCTCTGTAAATTTTCAAATCTCACGCATCCATCATCTCTACTCACATTATTCTATCATTTTTACTACTTTTATCACCAATTGGGAAGGAAAAAAAATAAGGCAAGTGTTACCGAATGGGCCCTTAAAAGTGGAAAATTGGGTTAATAGTGGAGAGATGCAACTGATTTTCCAATGGACCTCCAAATGTTTTGAGAAGGCGACCTATCAAGTGTGATTCATGGAGATTCACTAGCTTCCTTAAGGCTGGGATGTATTATAAATTAATATGTTTATAATTATATAATATCTTGTTAGTTCAATGCTGTGTTAGCTGTTGTACGGTTTTATCTTCGTCTGTGTGTTTTTGATGCAGTCACCTTATTTCTGGTTCATGTATGTTATTGATTTTACGGTTCTCCTTTTTCTGGTTGATTGCCTCTTGTTTTTCTTTACTTTGAACAGGTCCTTGCTTTTAGGGACATTAATCCCCAAGCTCCAATACACATTTTAATCATTCCCAAAGTTAGAGATGGCTTAACTGGACTGTCTAAGGTACTTGGTACTGAACGTTCTTTGTTTCTTTTTTGTTTATGGATTTCCTCTCTTTCTCCCTATAAGAAATTACAGTAAGCAATAATGCTCTTTATTTAATTACGGAGGGAATATTAGAATTACTTTAGAAACTTTCTTGTCTGACACCCTATCATGTCTTCAATGAGGTACCGTTCGAAGGGTAAAAAACCTTCCCTGGATTTGTGCATAGAAAATCTGACCAGGATTTTATCTATGTATGTGAATTGTCATAACCTAATACCCTTTTCTTGTGATTGTATCTGAGCTTCGACCCATGGAGATTATTGACCTTTTCACTATGATTGGGAAATCACATAAATTTTGATTTCTTTCACTATGCATTGCTCTTCAATGTTCAGTCAGGGTAGACTTTTTAGATAGCGTGCTAAATTAATAATTCACTAAGTTTATAAGATAACACATTAAAAAAAGTTTATATAGGTCCCACATAGTATATAAATTAATAATTTCATGATACATACTCCTTATGATTCGACCATGAGGCCTTTTTAAAATATGACTCATTCATTGTTTGTTTCTTGAAATTTATGTCACCTTGGATCTCGTCTCTAACTTTTCTTAACATGATAAGTTCTGGTGTGGTCTTCTCATACTGCAACAAAAACAACAAAGCCTTTTCCCACTAAGTGGGGTCGGCTATATGAATCCTAGAACGTCATTGGGCTCGGATGTGTGTCACGTCTTCTGTCAGATCCAAGTACTCTCAAGTCTTTTCTTAGAGTCTTCCAAAGTCTTCCTAAGTCTTCCTCTACCCTTTCGGCCTTGAACATCTGTCCCGTAATCGCATCTTCTAACCGTAGTGTCAGTAGGCCTTTGTTTCACATGTCCAAACCAATTTCGGCTACTCCTACTTTACCTTGGATATCCTCATTCCTAATCTTATCCTTTCTCGTGTGCCCACACATCCAACGAAGCATTCTCATCTCCGCTGCACTCATTTTATGTACGTATTGATGCTTTACCGCCTAACATTCTGTGCCATAAAGCATTGTCAGCCTTATTGTCGTCCTATAAAATTTTTCCTTGAGCTTTAGTGGCATACGACGTTCAGACAACATGTCGGATGCAGTCTTCCACTTCATCCATGTAGCTTGTATTCTATGGTTGAGAACTCTATCCAATTATCTGTTCTTTTGCAAGATAGATCGTAGGTAGCGAAAGCGGTTGCTCTTTGGTACTTCTTGGTCTCCAATCCTCACCCCTAACTCATTTGAGCCTCCGTTTGCACTGAACTTGCACTTCATATACTCTGTCTTTGATCGACTTAGGTGAAGACCTTTATCGTCGAACATTTTCTCCAAAGGTTAAGCTTCACATTTACTCCTTCCTGAGTCTCATCTATCAACACTATATTGTCTGCGAAAAGCATACATCAAGGAATATCATCTTGAATATGTCCTGTTAACTCATCCATTATCATCTGGGACCATTGCTTTTCTATGTTTCATCTTTTTCAAAGCTACAACCACTTCTTCCTTCCTAATTCGGTGGTAAAAGGAGTAGTTTCTACACTCTTCTGAGTTACTTAACTCCCCCAAAGAAGTACTCCCTTCATGTTCTTCATTGAAAAGATTATGAAAATAACCTCTTCATCTGTCTTTGACCCCATTCTCTGTAGCAAGAATCTTTCCATTCTCATCCTTGATGCACCTCACTTGGTTTAGGTCCCTTGTCTTCTTTTCCCTTGCTCTAGCTAGTTTATAGATATCCAACTCTCCTTCTTTGGTATCTAGTTGCTTATAGATATCGTCAAAAGCCGCTAGCTTAGCTTTTCTCACAGCTTTCTTTGCCTCCTTCTTCGCTATTCTATACCTTTCACCGTTTTCATTGGTCCTATCCTTGTATAAGGCTTTACAACATTCCTTCTTAGCCTTAACCTTTGTCTGTACCTCCTCCTTCCACCACCAAGATTTCTTTTGGTGTGGAACAAAGCCCTTGGACTCTCGTAATACCCCTCTCGATAAATCATATTGCAACAAAAAATTCTTAAATATCATCATCGCTTTGAGAACTTCTTTCCATGAAACGGGCTCCATAGTAGAACTATCATCTTCGACTTCATCTTGATCATTTCCCATGACGCTCTCAATAATATGCTTGTCAGTCAACATGTCTGAAGTTGTGTCTTCTCCAGGGTAGTTCAAGAGGTCCTCTACATCCATTCCATTACGATAATTCTAACTTTTTGATTACCTTGATAAATTGATAAGTGATTAATTAATCAATAAATTAATAAATTATTGATTTATCGATTATTTAATATTCCCCTAAACTAATAGATTTTCCTGGTCCCAAGACTTAATTTATAGAGGTTTAACTGTAGCCTTTCTATAGGAGTTGTTTATATTTGTATGGTTGAATATCCAAGTTAGTTATTGATACATTTAAGGATTTCAAATAGACATAATTCAGGAAACTTACGATGTTTATCCTGTGATATAAAAAGATTCAAAGACAGTGAATATAAGGCGCCGAAGCAGTTGACGGTTGACCTAAAAATACTCGTGTGAACTGCCTCACACTAGAATGTATAGTCTCTTAACCTGTTAATCATGTGGTGCTCGGTAGTTGTATCATAGTTTGAACTATGCTCCCCCGTCACTATTTCATATATATCTTGTAATATTATGGTGTTTGTATGCGAGTGATTTTTTATTTTATAAAATAATGTTATCTTGTAATGATTTTAGCAGTTATATGTTCCTGAAACGAAAAAGGAAAATAATAAAATATGATTTAAACTTTGACTGCAGTAAGCTGCTTGCGGCATCATTCCCTCTCCAAACAGTGTATGCTTTATCTGTATAAAATTATTTACGGGTGGGAAACATGATTAGCAAGGTTTAATTTTTCTAAAAACATTAGAAGAACATCAAATGTTGTATGAAATGGGATTTTTGTGGCGATCTATCAACGTTTCTTTTCTTGGGTTGAGTTTCCCTTTACAAGTTGTAAATTTTGTACGAGCATAAGCTCATTTAGCCTTGTAATTTTTCAGTTCATAATTGACGGATGACACAGTGGCGGAATTTAATGTTTTATTGGTTCGTTTTTGCTTTCCAGGCAGAGGAGAGACACACTGAGATTCTTGGTCAGCTTCTGTACGCAGCCAAGCTGATTGCCAAGCAGGAGGGTCTTGATGATGGCTTCAGGATTGTGATCAACGATGGCCCAAACGGATGTGCGTGTTATTTCTTACTCTGAATACTTGGGATTGACATATCATTAAGTTTATACTGAGCGATGTCTTCCTGCAGGTCAATCGGTTTATCACCTTCACCTCCATCTGCTTGGAGGACGGCAAATGAACTGGCCACCGGGATAATGTGTACGTTTTAGATGTGCTTATATTGATTATGAGGGGTCCAGCAAGATTTCCATGGGGATTGTGTTTGTGAAGATTATATTGACATGGTAACTAGTAGTTCCTAATGGTACTGGAGATCTGGAACCTGTTATAAACCTTCTCTCTTAAAACTATTGAACTAGAATAAATTAATGTGGCCATGTTACATAATTTGCATTCGGTTTCTCCTTAAGAACATGAATTACAGATGTACTGCCAAAGATTTATCCAAGAAATATTAGGCCATCTTGAGTGGAGAGGGCTGGGGGTCCAAAGCCAAAAAATGGTTTGATTTGTCAAAAAACTCATCTCTAACTGATGATTGGACTATATTATGTGGAGCTCACCATGCTATTATTTGCGTGAAGGTCATCAGGCTAGTCAAATCCAACCTCCTTCTTAGCCCTCTTTTGATGCTCAACTCATTAGTTGCAATAAGAGCATCTCTAGGGAGGGGCTTTATATGAGGCTGGAAAAGTAGTGGATAAGACTATTTTAGAGTTCATAGGAATCTTTTGGGCTTTATAAAAGAATCTCTTCTAATGATGGGTTATATTTTTTGGATTCTATATGGAGTTGTATGTATTTATTTATTTAGTAATTTGATTTTGCAATATATATATATATGTATTTTTTTTTTTGTGTTAATTTTTCCTTAAGTTGATTTTTGAACGTACTATCTTAGATTTTTTTTTTTTATGGACCTTTCACCCAATGAGGAGATGTTAATTCCTTACCCATAGGGACAACGGAAAAACTAAGAGGAAGACACTTTGTATTCATAAGAAAATTAAATACTAATCTACTGATCAAGGTGCAATCAGCATATCTATATAAATTCAGAAGTCAAATCACAGCCACAATAGAGAAATTGCAAAGAAAAATAATATGAAATCACAACTACATTATGTTGAATACAAGTACCTAAAGCTCCTTAACTTTTTAGTGTCATTTCCAATTGGTTTCAACATTTTTAAACATTCTACATAAGTACTTAACCAATTGAAAATGTCACATCTGTTAAAATCCCATTTAAAAATTTGTTAAATGAACTATGGCTTCCTTTGTCTTCGAAATCAATAGAAGGTCATGAAAGCATAGCCTCTGCCAACTAACAGTCACCACCACCCTCATCAGGCCAGCACCTCCAAACCCAAAACAAAATCACTAAGTCTATACACCCTCCAATTCAAGCTGCCAATATCAAGAAGAAGGTCAGAGGTTGCGGAAAATGGTATGCACCGCTATGATGCGGCTACCACCATTTTCATCTCCCATAAAGAAGAATTTGAAGCATTACGAGCTGATAATCAGCAAATGAGGAAATTACATGAGCAGAAATAAGCTCCTTGAAATTGGGTCCATTTTCAATTTCATTCAACACCCGTATGATCATTGGGTTCTAAATAATATAATTTATGTTTGAAATTAGATTTTTAGGCAACTAATATTGATGTTGATCATGATATACCCAGTTGGTGGGTTTTGAATATAATCTATGATTGAAAAATTAACTGGGACTTAACGGATGTGACATTTTCAATAGATTGGGTACTTGTTTGAAATGTTCAATAGATTAGGTACTTAAATATTAAATGACTTATGTATCCTATTATGTAATGACAATTTTGATTTTATAAGGTTTAAAAAAAAAAAAAAAAAAAAAAATCTCCAAATCACTTTTAACATATTATTTATTTTCTTAAACTCTCAAAACTCCGCTCACCCTCAATTGTAGAACAAAATTCTAACCAATTAAACTACAAACACGTTGATTGAGAAAAATTAATTTTGACGAATAGAACATGAAATCGACGTTTTGGAAGGTTTAAATGAGGTAAGACCTCATATATTTCATTGTTCTGTGATTTCAACGACATTGGTATTTTTATTTTATTATTTTATTTTTTTTGAGAAAAAACATCGGTATTTATTTAAGCTTGATTATACTTTTACCACTATACCTGCGTTCCTTAAGATATAAGCTTGTGTTATTTAAGCCTTTCTAATGTCCTGCAAATATTTATGGGTTATGATAACCTGCGTTATTTAAGCCTGCCTATAGCAGGTTTCATAGGCGGCCTTTCGTTTGCTAAAGCTGTGTCCGTTTAATATCTCCTGCTTTCTTTTCAGTTAAACACATTTAATATGTATCTTGAAGCTCCTAGTTTTCATGCTTCTTTGTAGTTTTAGTTGTATCGAAGGATATTATGTTTTTTTTTTTTTTTTTTGGTTGCAAGTCTCCTTTTATCGCAGTAGTGGAAAGGTGTTGAGCTCTTTGTATAACAGCATGGGTTCAAACCCTGTCGGTAGCTAATTTAATATCTAATCGAACAAAATCTATCATATGACCAAAAAAAAAGAAAGAAAAGAAAGATATTATGTTTTGTCCACACGAGTTCAACTACATATTTGACATAGTATGACAGACCTTACAGCATATTCTTTAAAATAGTGGTAGTTTTTTGTTCCCTTCTTTTGTCACCATTTTACGTTGAAATGTTCTTATCCTCGGCTGATGGAGACTCCTCGGTAGATCGCCATTACTTGACTTTGAAATGTTCTTTCTTGACTCCGGGATGACCATTACTTCAAAATTACAGAAATAACACTGTCTGGATGTGAAGAATGTAGAGTGTAAGTAGAAAATGTAAGATGTATGTTGAGTTTGTGGAGTGTAAGGGTATTATAGAAAAGTATGCGAGTGTATTAAGATAATATTTAATTGAAAAAGCAAACGTGAGATGCAAACATGGCATACATTCAAAAATTTATGGGATGTTAATATAATAGACCTTTTGTTAAACAAGCGGAATTTGGATTCTTAATCCGACCGAAGTACAAATCCAAAAGAAAGTACCTAAAACGACAATAGCAGCACGCACATTTTCAAGGTGAAATGCAACAATGTCTTCCTGAATATTTGCAAAAACATCATCTAAAACAATCACTCACTTCAACGTCGATGAGGGAACTTCAACTAACTAAACAAAATTATGTTTTGGGGAGTTGGAGCTTACATGCTACTTATACACTACAGAGGAAAATTCATACATTGTATAATTACAAATCGATCGCATGTATATTTATGCGGTATGCATAACAGGGTTTCTAATTAATTGCACAATGCTGCTTCATAAATGACTACCAACAATGGTGATTCCTTCCTATTGTTTTGAACCACACAAGGCATCTAACTCCATAGGCGATTTCTGCTCAGCACCGCCATCTGTTTCTTTAAACTCTGTTTGCAAGCCAAATCCATATCCGCCATCACTTCCATACAGGTCTCGATCCCACTGACCCACAAATTCGTTCTTCTGGTCAGCTTTTAGAGGCAGATTAGATGTGGCGTAACTGTCAGGCAACGGGTCATCCACCCTTTGTTTCTTATGGGGAGATGAGGGTGTGGCCAATGCATCTACCTTTGTCTCAAACTGAGCTGGCTTCTGCTTATCCTCAGCTGATGGTAACGCATCTGACGCTTTGAGTGCACCACCAAGCTTTTGCTGCTCCTCAATGATCTTCTGCAAGTATTTGCCCTGAGCTTCTATTCTCATTTGCAACTGTCTTTGAACCTGAATCGGTTTTTCAGACATTAGTAAAATTCTTAGTATAGCCCACACGTCTAGACACAGACCAGAACAACATGACAATAACCATAACAATACATCGCATACAAGAGCAGCTTATTACAAGCTTTTGTCATACTTAACACTTGCACTTGACGTGCGGTATTGAAGGTCAGGGACCAAATGTATTGATTTTTGAAACTCAAGGACCAAAATGAGGAGTTGGATCAATGTCAAGGGTCATTTGCAATAAAACCCCTTATTTTGTGTAATCCACGTGTCACCATTTCATTGGATTTGTAGGTCCCACATACAAACTAACAGAATAGTTGACGGAAACTTAATGGAAGGACCAAATTAATGTGCAGTAGTGAATGTCAGAGACGACATTGATTGATTGTGAAAGTGAAGGACCAAAATGATGGGTTTGATCAATCTCAAGGACCATTTGTGATAAAAACCCTTAATTTATTATTCTAGGAATGTATGGTGAAGTGAGAAGATTTTGCAGGCCAGACTGCATCCCTCTTCCAGCAATGTAAGGTGAAGTGAGAAAAAGAGACTTTACCTCAAGCTGTTCATGAAGACGCTTCTGAACTTCCATCTGCATCCTCAATGCCTCATTAATTTGCACTCCGCTGAGCAATTCAAAGATTTTATGGCACGTTAGATGCGGAATCATTAATATGCATGAGAGAGATGATTTTGCAAGTAAAGAAAATGATGATATTGGTCATTAAAGCTTAAGAGACAAAAAGTGTTCATAAACAGAGGTATAACCAATATAAGGTAAAGGAAAAGGTACCCACGGAGAAGAATCTGAACAAGAGAGGCTGTCTCCAGAACCCTTCTTCTCGTCCTTAGAACCTATAAGTCAGAAACAGTACTCCATTCAAATTCATATTTTCATTAGGTACAAACAAGTTTTCTATTGCTGAAATAAAATATATGGATGTAGGGAGAAGCCTTTACCATCAGCTGGAGACTCTGGCAGGTACTTTGCAAGTCGATACTTCTATACAAAAGAATAATTGCATTGTTAAAAATAAGAACATATAAATCTCCCTAAATATGTAATATAGTGTAGCAAGGAAACCCACACCTGTAAATGGCTTTTCACATGATAAATAGTTAGTCCGGGAACACCCATCACTCTCAGAACACCTTTAGGTGTAGCCCCTAAAGAAAATTGTAAAAAATGAACATATGTGAAGTATATTAAGGATACACGAATGCAATTAGAAACACTAGTTTGAGTGGGAGCAGAAATGGAAAAAAATTTCACCAATCCCAGTGTTGTGGGACTGATTTGTCCCTTGGACCACATGCCACAAATGAAGTATTGGACAATTTAATCCAGTCCTACATTTTTTCTTGAGCTTGCAAAGCATGATTAGCTACCACATGTAAATCAAAACACATCCACTTCAATAAGAATTAAAAATTTAAACACAATCAATCCTTAAACAGATTCACGAATATAAGATCAAGCACTCATTATTATTTAATGAATCAAAGAGCAAGTAGATGAAATAAGTAAACCACAGCTGAGGAAAAAAAAAAAAAAAATGCTGGGAGAGCATTTATTTTTTCAATTTT